AAAGTGAATTTTAAAGCACTTAAGAAGCTTATACCCCACCTGAAAACATGTTGCATGATTTCCTCTTTCATGTATCCAGCTCCGTACATTTCTCCATATGTTTACTAGCAGATTATTTTGCTAGTAAAGAAATTTTAGATGGTTTCATCTTTCCACCAATCACATCATAGTCTCCTGTTGTCACTCATGCAATCACTCTCTCTCTCTCTCTCTCTTTTTTTTTAATTCTCTAGTACATAGCATGTGGCTAGCATATAATAGATTCTCAATACATATTTACTGAGTGGCTACTATATCATTATATCAATATTAAAATATTCAGTTATTACCCTAATAAAAAAGGAAGATGTATTTCCTTTATAACTGCCACTATGACTTTTTTTCAGGTGTTTGGAATAAGAATAAAAATATTTATATAATTAATCTGAAAATAATGAATGGCAACAAAAATATAATTCTTAAAACCCATATTGGCTGGGCACAGTGGCTCACACTTGTAATTCTAGCAGTTTGAGAGGCCAAGGTGGGAGGATCACTTGAGCCCAGGAGTTCAAGACCAGCCTGGGCAACATAGTGAAATCTCATTTCTACAAATAATTTTTAAAAATTAGCCAAGCAGGTGAGGCACGGTGGCTCACGCCTGTAAGATCACAAGGTCAGGAGTTGGAGACCAGCCTGGCCAATATGGTGAAACCCCACCTCTACTAAAAATACAAAAATTAGCTGGGCATGGTGGCGGGCACCTGTAGTCCTAGCTACTCCAAAGGCTGAGGCAGGAGGATAGCTTGAACCTGGGAGGTGGAGGTTGCAGTGAGCTGAGATGGTGCCACTGCACTCCAGTCTGGGTGACAGATCAAGACTCTGTCTTAAAAAAAAAATAAATTAGCTGAGCATGGTAGCATGTGACTATAGTTTCAGCTACTTGGGAGGCTGAGGTGGGAGGACTGCTTGAGCCCAAGTGGTGGGGTTGCAGTGAGCTGAGATCACACCACTGCCCTCTAGCCTGGGTGACAGAGCAAAACCCTGTCTAAAACAAAAAAGTCCTTATTGCCATATTGTTGTTCATGACATGTTTGTTCCCTTGGGAAGAGAAAATAAAAAATATCAGTTTCTAAATTTATCTCTTTTCTAGAATGGGACTTAGCAGGTGGTCTTAGAAGAAACTACTTTGCAATAATTTCTTTGAACATTTTCAAAACAGGAAATATAAAAACTTGAACTCACTCCTTTTTTTTTTCATTTCACTGTTCATCTGTCAAAAACAAACAAACAAAATATAATTAAATCAAGGAGAACATTTTAAAATTAATATAAATTGTTTAAAAATTATATAGTTTAAAATATATCCATGATTCCTTTTAAAAACATTAGTTATATTGAGATTGTCTTAACTACAAATTAAAATGATAGAAGGATAAACATTTTAAAGAGAAAACAAAGACTTACAGTTTGAGGATAATCAGGGGGTGGTAATACAGGTGTTCTTTTATCCAGCGTTCTGTCTAAATTTCTTTTGGCTCCATCAATTCTGAAATTTATAATTAGAAATATGACTCTCTTGATAACATTAGCATAAGTTACTAAAATATTACAATTTGAGCATTATTCCATCTATACTAAGAGATAATCAAGAGTTATCTTACTGAATTTTTTTTGGTGGGGGAAGAAGGGAGGAAGGCAGGAAGGGAGGGAAGGAGGAAGGGAGGAAGGCAGGAAGAGAGGGAAGGAGGAAGGGAGGAAGGAAGGAAGGGAAGGAGGAAGGGAGGGAGGAAGGAAGGAAGGGAAGGAGGAAGGGAGGGAGGAAGGAAGGGATGAAGGAAGGAAGGAAGGGAGGAAGGGGGCAGGGAGGGAGGAAGGAAGGGATGAAGGAAGAAAGGAAGGGAGGAAGGGGGCAGGGAGGGAAGGAGGGAGGAAGGGAGGGAGGGAGAGTAGGGAAGGAAGGAAATCAAGCAATGAGAGAGACATTGCCGACCTGGATTTTTTTGAGAGAAGGAAAGAAAAAAAATGAGTAAAGGAGAGGAAGAAAGAGGAAGAGAAAGAGGGAGGGTGAATGGAAATATTGCTTTATTCTGAAAAAAAATTGGTATTAATAATGGCCAATGCTTCATTTAAACCTATGAGTAGGTGTGATGTGGTATTGACAAGAATGTATATTTTGTGTATTTGAAGTGGAGAGCTCTATAAATATTTATTACGTTTACTTGTTCTGGATCTGAGCTCGAGTCCTTGATATCCTTATTAATTTTCTGTCTCATTGAATCTAAGTCTCTATGTATTTGGGTGTTAGGATCGTTAGCTCTTGTTGTTGCATTGATCCTTTTACCACTGTATCTTTGTTGCTTTAAAATCTATTTTATCCGATACGAGAATTGCAACTCCTGCTTTTTATTTATTAATTTATTTATTTTTGCTCTCCATTTGGTTGGTAAATCTTTCTCCATCCCTTTGTTTTGAGTCTTTGTGTATCCTTGCATGTGAAACAGGTCTGGATGTAACATGCCGTTGGGTTTTGGCTGTGTCTTTTGATTGGGGGATTTAGTTGATTAAAATTTAGGATTACTGTCATTTGATGTTAACTGGCTGTTTTATCCATTCGTTGGTGTAAATTCTTCTTTATGTTGATGCTCTTTACTTTTTGGTATATTTTTAGAAAGGCTAATACTGGTTGTTTCTTTCTGTGTGTAATGCTTCTTTCAGAAGCTCTTGTAAAGCAGGCCTGGTGGTAATAAAATCTCTGAGTTCTTGCTTGTTCATAAAAGATTTTATTTTTCCTTCAATTGTGAAGCTTAGTTTGGCTGGATATGAAATTCTGGGCTGAAAGTTCTGTTCTTTGAGGATGTTGAATATCGGCCCCCACTCTCTTATGGCTTGTAGAGTTTCTGCTGAGAGATCTGCTCTAAGTTTGATAGGCTTGCCTTTGTAATTAACCTGACGTTTCTCTCTGGCTGCCCTAGTATTTTCTCCTTCGTTTCAACCCTGGTGAATCTAACGATTATGTGCCTTGGGGTTGCTCTTCTTGAGGAATATCTTTGTGATGTTCTCTGTATTCCCTGGGGTTGAATATTGACCTGCTTAGCTAGTTTAGGAAAATTTTCCTGAATAATATCCTGAAGGGTATTTTCCAGCTTGGATTCATTCTCTCAGTCGCATTCAGGTACACCTATGAAACGTAAATTTGGTCTTTTCACATAGTCCCACATTTCTTGGAGACTTTGCTCATTCTTTTTTATCCTTTTATCTCTAATCTTGTCTTCTTGTTTTCTTTCATTAAGTTGGACTTTGACCTCTGATATCCTTTCTTCTGCTTGAACAATTCGAGTGTTTAAACCTGTGCATACTTCTCAGAGTTCCTGTATTGTATTCTTCAGTTCCATTAATTCACTTACGTTCCTCTCTAAGTTGTCTATTCTCAATAGGATTTCGTCAAACCTTTTTTCAAAGTTCTTAGTTTCTTTACGTTGGGCTACAACATGTTCTTTTAACTCACAGAAGTTTCTTATTATCCATTCCTTGAAGGGTGATTCTGTTATTGGGATGCGCTCATTCTCCGTCAAGCCTTGTTCCATCGTTGATGTGGAACTGTGATCCTCTTTAGAGGGAGAGGCGTTCTGATTTTGAGTATTCTCAGCCTTTTTACGCTGGTTTCTTCCCATCATTGTAAATTTATCCTCCTGTCGTCTTTGAAATTACCAACTTTCAGATTAGGTCTCTTGAGTGGACGTCCAAGTTGTTAGTTCCCAGGGCCAGAACAGCGGCGTTAAGACTGATGGTGCTTTTCTGCCCAGGATTCTCCTGTCTGGCTTCCTTCTTGTGTCTGAAATAGGTGACTCTGCCTTCCCAGGGCTCCAAACCTCAGTCAGAAGGGGAACCAGTCTCGTTTACTCTGCGCCGAGAGCTGCCGCGCTGAGGTGTCGTCATAGCCGCTGTGCCAGCCACAGGAGTTGTGCTGGGGACCCGTGTGGGTCCTCCAAACCTCGGTCAGAAGGGGAGCCAGACCTGCTTACTCTGCTCCGAGAGCTGCCACGCCGAGGTGCCGGCGAAACTGCTGCACCGGCCACAAGAGTCGCGCTGGCGACCCGTGTGACTCCTCCACTGGGGATCTTCTGCTCCGTGAGCGACCAGAATTTGTCTGAAAGTGTGGCGTCCTCTAGTTCTCTGCGCTTTCACTGAGAGCTGCAATCCCGAGATGTTAGCTATCGACCATCTTGGATTGTTCTCTCTTACTGAATTTTTTATACGAAACAAATCCCAATAGGCATTATCAATGAGACCTTAATTTTTTTTTTTTTTTTTTTGAGATGGAGTTTTGCTCTTGTTACCCAGGCTGGAGTGCAATGGCCCAATCTTGGCTCACCGCAACCTCCGCCTCCTGGGTTCAAGCAATTCTCCTGCCTCAGCCTCCTGAGTAGCTGGGATTGCAGATATGCACCACCACATCCAGCTAATTTTGTATTTTTAGTAGAAATAAGGTTTTTTCCATGTTGGTCAAACTCCCAACCTCAAGTGATCTGCTCACCTTGGCCTCCCAAAGTGCTGGGATTACAGGCATAAGTCACTGTGTGCCTGGCCTTCATTTGTTTTTTGTTTTGTTTTGTTTTGTTTTGAGATAGAGTCTAGTTCTGTCACCCAGGCTGGTATGCAGTGGCATGATCTTGGCTCACTGCAACCTCCGCTTCCCAGGTTCAAGCGATTCTCACGTCTCAGCCTCCATAGTAGCTTGAGATTACAAGTGCCTGCCATCACACCCAGCTGATTTTTGCATTTTAGTAGAGATGGGGTTTCACTGTGTTGGTCAGGCTGGCCTTGAACTCCTGACCTTGTGATCTGCCTGCCTCGGCCTCTCAAAGTGCTGAGATTACAAGTGTGAGGTACCATGCCCAGCCTAAACCCCTATTCTTTATAAATTATCCAGTCTGTGGTATTCAGTTATAGCAATAAAAAATAGACTAGGATACCTCTGTAGCCATTCTGGTTTATCAGTGTCCCTCTTTTAACTTTCATTTTATATGGAATACCTCACAAATTTGTACGTCATCCTTGCACAGGGGCCTTACTAATCTTCTCTGTATTGTTCCAATTTGTGTGCATGTGCTGCCAAAACAGCACTCAAAGTCCTTCTTGAAGTGTGACCCCAGAGTTCCATATGACGTTTGACCAGTGCAGAGTGAAAATTTTCTCTCCCACTGCCTAGACACGATGCATTTATTAAAGTATCCTACGACTGAATTAGCCTTTTTGAGCAGCCTCGTTTCCCTGTTGAATCTTACTGAGCCTGTAGTAAACTAAAACTCCTAAGACTTTCTCACATGAAGTAGAAAATGTACCTGGATATCCTCCTCCTTCTTTTCTTTGTCAATCTTCAAGACCTTGGCCAGGCTTCCCTTCATCCATCATGTCTCCATAAAGAGTCTAGCTCTAAGTTATTACTACTTTCAAGGAATTTGCCTTATACTTTGGTATGCTAATTGGCACTAGTCATAGTCAGGCTTGCACTGTAATTATACCAACATAAATATGCCTGATTTCCTGTTCTTTATATATAAATGCCACCCTTTTACATAGCAACAGTTTCTAGAGCATGTTTTCTCCTACTGGCTATAAATAAAAAGAGCTGGAAGAACATAGGAGTGAGCCTTTTCACTCCCTGGCTGTTTTTGATTTGTATATTAACAATTAAAAACAGGCTGGGCACAGTGGCTCCCAGCACTTTGGGATGCCAGCACAGGTAGATCACTTGAGTTCAAGACCAGTTTGGGCAACATGATGAGACTCTGTCTCTACAAATAAATACAAAAATTAGCTCGGCACGGTGGTATGCACTACACCTGGAATCCCAGCTACACAGGAGACTGAGGTGGGAGGATTGCTTGAGCCAGGAAGTCAGAGGCTGTAGTGAGCAGTGAACACCACTGCACTCCAACCTGGGCCACAGAGTGAGACCCTGACTCAAAAAGAACATGGTGAGGGGGATAAATAATGAATACTCATAGCTAAACTAAAAAAATTTATAATAAAACCAAATAAATAAAAACTTGAAAATTTCAAATGTGTGAGAAACCACATGCAGTAAAGGAGAGAAACGCTTGAAACAAGAGGTGAGGTAGCTGCCAATAAAGAAGGCAGGCTCATTCTTGGGACTCTGGAAAGCTACAAAACGATACTGGCTCAGCCAAGTGTTCCCAGGGACTGGTCCTAGTAGGGGGCCCACTTCTACCCATGACTCTTTATACTCTACCTCACCCCAGGAACTCCCTCTATCCACAGATGTCACTCCACCTTTCAAAAAGGGAAGTCTGCATGCCTGTCGTCTAACAGGTGCAGACAGCAAGGGATGGAGAATCCCAAAGTCCATAGCCATCCAGAAAGATATGTTTCCAGTTTTTAAAAAAACTATTTAATTTTATCAGTTAAAAAAAATTGGTTTCTGAGGCTGGGCGCAGTGGCTCACACCTGTAATCACAGCACTTTGGAAGGCCGAGGCAGGCAGATCACCTGAGGTCTGGAGTTCGAGACCAGTCTGCCCAACATGGTGAAACCCTGTCTCTACTAAAAATACAAAAATTAGCCAGGCATGGTGGTGGGTTCCTGTAATCCCAGCTACTCAGGAGGCTGAGGCAGAAGAATTGCTTGAACCCAGGAGGCAGAGGTTGCAGTGAGCTGATATCGTGTCATTGCACTCCAGCCTGGGCAACAAGAGTGAAACTCCATCTAAAAAAAAAAAATTGGTTTCTGAAAGTTTTTTGCATTAGACCTTTGGCCAGCTGAAAATGAGTTTGAAATCCAAGGAGAATACACCAAATATACTTAAAAGAAACACACACACATGATAAACTTAGTTTTCTTTTCTTTTTTTTTTTTTTTTTAAGATGGGGTTTCTCTGTGATGGCCAGGCTGGTCTTGAACTCCTGACCTCAGGTGATCCACCCAAATCCTCCCTAAGTGCTAGGATTACAGGCGTGAGCCACTGCGCCCAGCCGATAAACTTAGTTTTCAAAGAATATGCTTATTAATAAGGAAATGGAAAAAAAACAAAGTGGAATCCAGTATGAGGTAAAGCTTAGCAAAGTGAGCATTCACTGAAGTAACTTTTTTTTCTTTTTTGTTTTTACTTTTTTTTATTTTTAGGAGAGACAGGGTTTCACTGTGTTGGCCAGGCTGGTCTCGAACTCCTGACCTTGTGATCCTCCTACCTTGGCCTCCCAAAGTGCTGGGATTACAGACATGAGCCACCACGCCTGGCCCTTTTCTTTTTCTTTTAAATGAACCTAACATTGTGAACACATCCAGGGAAAATAAAATAAAACCAGTAATTCCAAATGCATTTTTCCCAAAGAAACTCATAGCAGTTCTAATCTCAGTATTAATATAGCACTATGCTTCAGGTAATTTTGAGGCAGCATTTTTAAATTAAGCACCAAAATAAAAGTTGTACTACTTACAGATCTGTATAAAGCACAATAAGGCAAGTTTCTTCCTTAAAAATTCATTCATCCCCTCATTCGTCAACAATAACATGCCAAACCCTGTGATTTGTGTTGAGATCCCTCTCCTTAAGCATGCCAAAGTGGAGAAGAAAGACAACTAAGAAAATAAAAGAACATTGTATTGTAACATACTCTGTGCTTAGAACATCCTGCTCTTCTGCTTTTCCTCCTTCCTTACCAGTCATACTTACTCTACTTGCTGGGTGACTTTTCTCCACACCTGTAATGCTATGCCCTAGGCCTTTGCCTTTCTCAGTTCACTTGCTCACTCGCGCTCTCCCCTGTGTTCTCTCTTGCCTAGCTCTCACCCTCACTCTCTGTGTGATTCCAATGATTCCCTATAGCTTTAAATATCACTTACATACAAAAAAAAAAAAAATCATCTACATTCTAGTGACTCCCCAATTTTTTTTTTTTGATATGGAGTCTTGCTTTGTCACCCAGGCTGGAGTACAGTGGCACGATCTCTGCTCACTGCAATCCTGCCTCCCTGGTTCAAGCAATTGTCCTGCCTCAGCCTCCTGAGTAGCTAGGATTACAGGGGCACACCACCACGCCTGGCTAATTTTTGTATTTTTAGTAGGGAAGGGGTTTCACCACGTTAGGCTGGTCTCAAACTCCTGACCTCGTGATCTGCCTGCCTCGGCCTCCCAAAGTGCTGAGATTACAGGTATGAGACACCACTCCCAGTCGACTCCCAAATTTTTATATCTCCAGCCAAGATTTCTCTTACCTATCCAACAGCTATTAATATATTTCCCTTTACATATTACATAGGCACTTATGCTCCAAAAGAGAGCAAGAAGTGTCAAAAAATAAAGAGTATTATTGTGCTTTTTAATCCCCATCACCTGTACTTCCTCAATTCCCTATCAGTCAGTGACACTACTATCCACCTAGGTACCAGAGCTAACCCAACAGCAAATCCTACTGATCCTGCCTCTGAAATACATCTCCTGTAAATCTATTTTCCTCCTCCACAGTCTCCAGCCTTATCCAAACCACTGTAAATTCTCACCTATGCTACTGTAGTGGCATCCTCCCTGGTCTCTTTGTGCCCCCCTACTCTTCCTTCTTCCCCTCCACCTCACTCTATTCTTAATAGCCAGAGTGATACCTTTTAAATGTAAATCAGGTTTCATATCACTTCCTTGTTTGAAACATTTCAGTAGCTTCCGTTGCACTTAAAAATAAAATCTGAATTCCCTGTCATGGTCAACAAGGCCTACACAATCTGTTCCCACCTCCTTCTCCATCTTCACCTGATACTACCCTTCCCCAGGCTCATGATACTCTAGAGATGTTGGCCTTCATCAGTTTCTAGAATGTACTGAAAGCATCATTATTTCAGAGATTTCATGCTTGTTATCCCCTTTGCTAGAGAGCTTTTCTCAAGTTTACTTAGATGACAGGCATCTTCTCATTCTCTGGATCTCTACTTACATTTTTTTTTTTTTTTTTTTTTTTTTTTGAGATGGAGTTTCACCCTTGTTACCCAGACTGGAGTGCAATGGCGCAATCTCGGCTCACCGCACCCTCCGCCTCCTGAGTTCAGGCAATTCTCCTGCCTCAGCCTCCCGAGTAGCTGGGATTACAGGCGCACGCCACCATGCCCAGCTAATTTTTCGATTTTTAGTAAAGACAGGGTTTCATCATGTTGGTCAGGTTGGCTTGGAACTCCTGGCCTCAGGTAATCCACATGCCTTGGCCTCCCAAAGTGCTGGGATTACAGGCATGAGCCACCATCTGTTGTGTTTTCCATGGTCTCCTCAGTAACAAGTGTCTGTGTAACAGCAGATACTTAATATCTGCTAAATAAACTGATGTGAGACAAATGCATACAGAGGGTTAAAGCAGCATGAAAAGGATTAGGAGAAAGCTTTCGAGAGAAGGTGACCCAGAAACTGAACCTGGAAGAACTAGGATAAGTATTCAGGCAGATAGGGCAGTGAGGGAAATTGCAGAGTACATCTCTAAACTGTGAAAAATACAGTATATTCATGAAACTCCAGGCAGTTCAACATGATAATGCAAGATAATGAAAAGTTATGAAGTTAAAACAATCTAGGCCTGACATTGATGGAGTGGCTCATGCCTGTAATTCCAGCACTTTGGGAGGTCAAGGCAGATGGATCACTTAAGCCTAAAAATTTGAGACCAGACTGGGCAACAGGGCAAAACTGTGTCTCTTCAAAAAATACAAAAAAATGAACTGGGTGTGGTGGTGCATGCCTGTAGTCCCAGCTACTTGAGAGGCTGAAGTGGGAGGATCACTTGAGTCCAGGAGGTTGAGGTTGCAGTGAGCTGAGATCATGCCACTACACTCCAGCCTGGGTGACAGAGCAAGACCCTGTCTCCAAAAAAAAAAGAACAATCTATCTCTACTCTAAATCTACTGAAACATTGAATAGAATCTTAGGAATGAAGGAGGAAGGCATCTCTCTTTTTCTTTTTCTTTTGTTGAGATGGAGTTTTTCTTTTTCTTTTTCTTTTTTTTGAGATGGAGTCTCTGTCACCCAGGCTGGAGTACAGTGGCATGATCTCGGCTCACTGCAACCTTCCCCTCCCAGATTCAAGCAATTCTCCCACCTCTACCTCCTGAGTAGCTGGGATTACAGGCAC